TGATAGCCTATATCCGGTGATAGAAGTCAAATTTAAATCTCTCTTTAATATTTAAAGTAAAGCGTTAGAAGCGTTTTATCATATTTTAGATCAGATAAAACGCCAATTAGAAGTGCTTCGTATACCTTCAAGCACGACCACAAAAGATTGGCTAATGCTATTAGTGCTATTTTTGTTTGTTTCCATGACACAGATAATAAACAGTATAGTAAATAAAGATCAATTGCATTTACATACACCCACTGGTACTGTAAGTTATCTTGTTTGCGCCAGATATTTTCAGAGCTCTTGTAGGCGAGGCTGGTGTAATCTTGAAAGAGGAAATTCAGCAGAGCTTCACATGCATTTTGTGGTCTCATAGAGGGCAGAACCAGATTTCAATTCGCAACATTCATATAGGTACGTGCAGAATATGTCATAATTCCCTCAGTTTGATCTTAAATTATCTCTAAAAAGAATTCAACTTTTACGTCATTCTGGATTTATAAATGTAACGTATAGAATTTACTGCTCTTATAGACTTGTAGGGTTTAGAAGCTGTTGGTTAAAAGATCCATGTATGTGCCGAAGTAAAAAAGTTGCGGTATTTAATTTAATTAATCAGAAAAACTAGAACAACTATTCGTTTAAATAAGATTTATCGCACCCAAATATGGACAACCGGATCATGAATTTGGAAATATTGTAATATAAGGTCTGCGGGCGATATTAATTAGCTGGGATATCAATGTTTCAATTTGAACAAGTATTTCTGACTTTGCTAAAAAGTAACGCTTGATAGCTTATTTTAAATGGCCTAGCTGGCTAAACTTGATATATCGTTTTATTTGTTGTCAAAAGAATACGCATATATACAGCATATTCGTTTCATTAGTTGATCAACTTCAAGGAGTTATCCTGCGGCCCAAAAGAAATATTGGATAGTTTGTTCATGCGAAGATTGGTAATGTATGCATATATCCGTTTTCAAATTTATACACGGTCAAGCCGAAAATAGCTAATAGCTAAGAGTTGACATGTCAGTTTTATGTCACAGGGTTACGAAGTTCAAATTATTTGCAACTAGAATAGTTGAGTAAACCAGAAGAGATGTCCTATAAGCCCTGTAAAGAGCATGCAAGCGCGGGTAACTTAAGCAAAAAGTAGTGTCGGATCATGCCGAAAATAGCTAGAGTAGCCTGCCATCCGTAAATAACAAGGTCGAAACGCACTACACTATATATATATATATATATATATATATATATATATATATATATATATATATATATATATATATATATATATATATATATATATATATATATATATATATATATATATATATATATATATATATATGGCTACTTAAAATTAATTAAGTCGCAACTCTGAGTTTCACGTTTTCACGATCTTCAGGCGACGATGTATGTATATATATATATACAGCTAATTCAAAAAAGGTTGTCCTTTGCAAACCTTAAACTCTAAACCTTAAACCTTAAACTCTAAGCGCGCAAAGCATAATGGGAGTACTGATTTCAAGCTTTGTAGTTGAATATTGCAGCTGTTTGTGAGTGAAATGTTTTCGCAGGCACATATTTACCATGTCTCTAAGAAATGGGCTCCATGTATGCTTTCTAAACTGCTTAAATAGTGCTCCCATTACGCTTTGCGCGCTTAGGGTTTAAGGTTCAAGGTTTTAGTGTTTAAGGTTTGCAAAGGACAACCTTTATTGAATTAGCTGTATATATATATATATATATATATATAATATATATATATATATATATGTATATATATATATATATATATATATATATATATATATATATATATATATATATATATATATATATATATATATATATATATATATATATATATATATATATATATATATATATATATATATATATAGGGGCAGTGGAACTCGAAACCACTCGAATATTTCATATTTTAGATCAGGTAAAACGCCATGCATGCAATTAGAAGTTCTTTGTGTGCCTTCAAGCACCACAACAAAAGTGTGAGTAATGCTATAGTGTTATTTTCTTTGTCTTCAGAACACACATAACAAACGGTAGTAAATATAGATTAGATTCATTTACATACCGTAAACCCACTGTACGTTTTTTTTGCTTCCGCCAGATATTCTAGAGCTCTTGATGGCGAGGCTAATGCAATCTTTTGGATAACAATTTTCCTAATATTCGGACGAAGAACTTAATCCGAGAACGATTAAATTCAACAGGGCTTTCATACCATCAAACGTCAACCTTAGTGGACCTAAAACGAGCAGTCGGGAAGAGCCAGACACCAATTGGCCAAATTCAATAGATGCATAAGTGCATAATATGTCCTCATTCCTTCAGTTAATTTGATCTTAATCTTTAAAATAGAGTTCAAACTTTATGTCATCCTAGAGTTATAATTGTAAGGTATATGATTTACTGCTCCTCAACAAATGGGATTTATAACAGATGTTGCTTAAAATAACTCTTTTTTATTTAATGTGCTCTTTTTTATTTAATGTGGCGGACAGCTATTTCGTTCAAATAAGATGTATCGTATCCAAATAGGGATAACTTGAATAGGAATATATTGGGATAAAAAATGTGCATTCGATATTAATTAAATGAGATATCAATGTTTTAATTTGAACAAGTTTTTTGACATTGTGCATGTATATATATGATTGTTAACCTTGGCCTGGTTAAGCTCGAAATGTGGTTTTAGTTGTTGTTAAAAGAGCACATGGACAACATATTTGTTTCAAATATCATTATTTGATCAACTGAAAAGTCTTGCCCTGTGGCACAAAAGGAACAGTGGATAGCTTCTTCAAACAAAAATTGGCATATGCTTATACCGGTTTTCAAATTACGCGACCAGGCCGAAAACAGCTGGAGTTGACAAGACATGCTGTTTTATATCACACGGTCACGGTTTGAACTTTCAAATTGTTTAAAACAAACTGTTTAGAATAGTTGTGTAAATCACACGAGATAGGCGGCCTTTTTGATGCCCAGTAAAGAGCAAGTGGCCAAACTTAACAACAAAGTAGTGTCGGATGTGGTAATTATCAGGAGTAAGGCCATGTACAATCTCGTACCCAGAGCAATGCCTGTCGCGGGATAGGATGGCGTTAGTTCTGGGGAAATTGAATTTTTCCTGTACTGTGATTGGTTTAACGTTTATCAATCGTGCATGGCAACAAAGAACTGGAACCCTAAATTTAGTGGTTCCGGTTGTCAATTTCCCCAAAGCCAATGCCATCCTAGCCCGCGCAAAAGCATTGTTCTGGGTACGAGATTGGGCTATGTATAGATATTATAGATATTAAGTGAATGATTAAAACACAAAGAGTCGTGATTCGAGTAGCTCTCCTGGTTGTATAATTATAACGTAGTAGAATTACCTATTGCGCTAGTAGAAACGTTCTCATGTCAAGTGAATTTCCAAAAGCCTATTGACCGCCTATATATCTTCAGGACCTCAGATTTCAAAGTTTTCCTGGAGAGAATACTCCGCTAATCGTATAGTATTAGATGATAAAATCAGGAGGGGCCCAAGTCCAATTTTGCACTGGTTCCCCAAATAAATCACGGGTTGCGTGTTAGTCGAGAACCTGTATATAAGTTTGTATGCGTTCCATATAGGACAGATAATCTCAACTGTATTAGGGCTAGTTGACTATGACGGTCACACTGACATGGTAAGGCTGCCCGTTAACGTAACGGTAACGCTGCAAGTTAACCATGACGGTCACACTGACATGGTAACGCTGCCCGAACCCCAATCCGGGACGAAACGTCCAAAACTGACCACACCCAAAAACGACGTTTTCGCAATAGTGCTATCTACCAAACCATAAAAGCTTTGGCTATTCTGAGGTGCTTATATGGTTCAGAGACGGTACTTTTAGGGCTGGTCATTGACAAGTGTGAATTCCCCTAGCACTGTTATTTCACAATAAAATGACCATGTAATAATCATAGTCAAACGTCAATTTGTGGCTTGCAACTTCAGATAAACAGCTGTGGACCTACATTACATTTCTCCCTAAATCTTTTTTATAGAAATATAATTGGTACTTATTGAAATATACTAGAAATACATGCATGCAGTGACCCCTCGCCTTGCTAACCAAACCACTATATAAAGCAAAATTGAAGTATCAGCAGTAGTTGTGGTTGCACAACATATTTTTGATTCAAAATTGTATGAAGAAAATAAAAGACCATTACTTTTAATTTTTCACAAATGAAAGTTAAGCCGCAGCCCATGCATGGTCAGGCATATGTGGGGCATTTGATTTTTCATTAAATTATTTGGTTAAATTCCCTACCATGGGAAAAGAGATATCATGCAATCAATGTCTCACTCACAGAATACTACACAGAAGTCCATGTCCATTGGGTTTTTTTGCATAAGCGCAAGTACTCGATGATTGTAAAACTTCCAAATGCTTAATTTCAAATGCCCCACCCCCGGCAAAGGTTTGAGTTCAAATGCCCAAGCCCCGGAGATGCTTTACAGGAAAATGGCCCGGGGTTGGGCACGCTTGGATTTGACCGATGCATTAAAAGTCATGGAAGTCTGTGCACTAGCTAGAATAAGAAGTATATTTACTAGACAGTAAATACCAATAAACAGTAAATAGTAGACAGTAAATACCAATAAACAGAAATGTATTTAATTTATATCATAGTATTTATACAATTTCATTTTTATACTATAAAAAATATATAAACATGCAGTCACAGATATGCAAAATGTTAACTTGGCTTTATTTATAGATTTAGCAAATAGCAATAAAAGTTACCTTGTCTTCACATCGCTTTATACTGTAAGTCAATGCTTTAAATTTACATATTTTAGAATCAGTTCATTTCCTCGTATTAAACTGCATGTATTTCTACATGAAATCATTGTGAGTACCGAGCGGGTTTACTATAAACGAACATTAGGAATTTATAACATCTTTGAATGATCGTTGGACATTCGGACACAGTCGCAAAAATGTTGATGGTATCAATGTTGTACCGTCGCTTGCAACTAACGATGAACGGTTGCTCATAAAAACATTACATATATTTGCGTGAGAATCTTCAATGTTTGTCATGAGCAACAACACTTAGTTGACATGTTTTAATCTGATCAGCCAATATAACGTTCAAGTAGCTACAAGCTTGGTTGGCTTTGAAACCATGAAATGATCATCACAAACTTTGAACTTTTTCAGTAAAAACATCGAACTTTGTGATGAGAATAGACAATGTATTATCTGCAACTGTTCACCCTTAGTTGCAAGCGACGGTATTTGTAACCACGGGGTTATGGCAGTTACTGTAAGCCAGCATGAAATTGCCTGTGACATTGTTAATATTACTGACTTGAACTTGTATGACAAACACTTTATTGGAAAATTGTAAAGAAACAGAGGATGGAATATACTTGTACAGCTATCATTGGTATATAGCGTTGTGAAGACAAACCACCAGGTACAGTACCTTTTACACACTTGTAATTTTTATTTTATAATGAACGAATAAAGTATATTTATAGAGCTATTATTATATAGAACATGGGTCATGGTCATGATAGTATGATCATGATAGTGCAGTTTCATGTATAAAGTAATAACAACACAAACTATCAAGGGGGCTGGTTGTATGAAGCGGGCTATCTGCTAATTTATGTCAAGAAAATATATCCTTTGACCCAAAGCCGAAAGGAAAATCTTGATTTACCAAACACTTTTATCAACTTTTTTGAGAAAATCTTGAAGGCAAAACAGAGAAGAAAGTAATCGACCTGGTGAGATGGCTGCATGGGCTAGCTTTTCCATATAAACAGCCCTAATATATCAATTTAATAAATTTAACTGAAAAATAAACTAAGTTCAACTGTCAAATTTAGCCGTTATTACTGTAAACAATTTTAACAATTGCAGATTTGATATAGTAACAATATAAAATTACATTGTTAATTTATCAAATCTGCAATGGTTAAAAACAACTGGCCGTCCCTTCCCCTCTTTTGAACCATGCCTTTGGGGGCACTTGATCCTGGCATGCCCCCGTTCACCGCACAACCAGCATACTATGCCTATATTTGAAAATATAAAATTCTAGTATGTAGTATTATTAACCCATTGAGTGGCAGCACTCTCCACTTGACAAGTAAAATCATCTGGCGTTAGACAGAGCAAAATCGTCTGGCATTAGACAGAGTAAAATACTAAAGTATGGCTAATGAGGGTGCATTGCCTCTTAAAAGATTAACCTGTCAAGTGGAAATCAGGCCTCGAATTTCCCTGAAATCAATCGACGGCAATGGCGTTAAAAATTGCCGTAGAACGTAACAGCTGTCTACGCCAATTTTGGCAGTTTCCACGGCATTTTTTCAAATTACTGTAACAAAAATTTAATTTTATTGTTAATATAGTAATTTAGTGAATAGTATAAAAATTATACTATACGGCAAAAAATTGCTGTCGTTTCCGCAATGATCCACGGCATTTTGTACTCCCTCTACGGCAATTGCCGCGATAAAATTCGAGCCCTGGTGGAAATACACCAATATGCACTCAATTTTGTTATTCTATTATGTATAATACCAGACAATTTTATTTGTCATCGGGAGAGTGTTGCCACTCAATGGGTTAGTCTGTTATGGGGTCGGCTATTTTGCGAGCTGCGAGTTGCGAGTCGCTAGCCTCGCTTTGAATTAGGCTTTGAAAGTATATTAATATGGACGACATGGAAGGCAAAGTCGAAGGGTTTTCTGTTTCATAAATATAATGACCTTCGAAGTTAAGGTCCCTGTAACTAAGACTTCGACACAAAAGAAAATGCTACGATACGGACGAGATAAAAATCGGCCTTTACTTGTTTTTTTTTACTTTGTTAGATCCATCGATACGTATGTTCAAGAATTAAAATAATTATATTGAAAATAAAAGTGCAAGTTTATATTTGCCGTTTCTGTGTTTAATAAAATCTAGTAGTTATTCAGACCATTTTGTGCTTTCTAATCTTAAAATGGTTATTTAATTTTATTAGTAAGTATGACCAGACACCGACTCAGTTTGTTTATATATACTGAACGCTGGGAACCCTATAAAACTCAAGTCCTTTTCATCGGAAGTACAATTTATTTTATACAATTTATACATAGACATACATATACATACATAAACTTTATCTCAACACGGGAAATATATATCAGTATATCAAAACGATTGCTATTTACAAGTTTGTAAGTATAAAAATAAATGCAATGAATGTTTATTTCAAAAGCTGAAAATTGGCGCCAAATTGAGACAAAGCTAAAATCACATCCGCCAGGATGCCATACAGTTTTCAATTTGAATTCTTAGTGTAAACCACAGGTGTAAACACCTGGTTCGGTGCTTCAAAGCTAGGTTAGTGTTAACCCTGGGTTAAAATTAAACCCGATGTATTAGAAATTAACAATATACTCGTAACTCGCAACTCGCAACTCGCAACTCGCAACTCGCAGCTCGCAACTCGCAACTCGCAGCTCGCACTTTAGATAATCTCGACACGGACCCTTGCGAGATTGGGCCACCTGTGGTTTAATTACGGTATCTATTAACCGTGCGGTAAATCATGGATTGTTGTGTTATTTTAAACTGATATTATAGGCAACGGCTTCTCATTAATTTATATGGTAATGCTGCACTGTTGTTATTCTACATTTTGTTATTGGCATTGGCATATCAATATCTGAATAGTCTATTGATTTCATATGAGAAGCTAGGGAAGATTAATAAGTTTATTAAAGTTATGCTGTGTGTTTCATTGATATGTTTAAACATAATACACAAAGAGAAATAAACTTTATATTAATTTTAAACGATGTTTGAAATTTGAATCACTAAATACGGCTCACAGTTTGAATAATAATTAGCACTTGAAAAACAACCAATCAGAGCCCGACTTTCGCCGGTGTTTCCCAGAGCCTCAGCAAGCCTCCTCAGAGGATTGCAGGCTCTGGTTTCGAGATTGTGCTCAAGTCACTAGTCAAGTGCAGGGTTTATTTTAACGTGCAGTTCTACACAAAATGTGCAGTTCTAAACCCATTTGTGCAGTTCTTAAAACACAAATGTCCAGTCACCAAACTAAAACAAAAATAGCCTTAATTAAAACAGTCTTCTTATTTACTCGTTACCCTTGTGGATGCTCCAGAAAATTCTGTCATTAATTGAGCATCAAAAATATAAACGTTTTCTGGGAGAGGACTCCAGACCCTCGTATTTTCCTCACAAATCACTTACGTGCTGAGGTAATGGAAAAGAAGGTAAAATTGGGGCGAGCGATGCTCCCCAAAAGAGATTAGAGTGGGAGAACCTAGTATTCCTTGCTGCCTCAAATGCAAATTTAAGGTTTTTATACATTGAATATCCACGATTCCCAGTTACATGTTTTGAAACAGTTTTTGTGAGTGGTTGGGTAAAACAAATCTTTTAAGAGCTTCTAGATTCAAATTGTTTTGGGGAACACCCCCTAGCTCCCGCACACAAAATCGAGTTTGTCTGGCCTTTCTCCAATTCTCCCACCCAACCACACCATGTCATCTATATGCAGGTAAAAAATCCTTCGACCACCCCCCCCCCCAGTCAAACACTCGTTGCCTTCGTAACATTCCTGTATGTGCAGTTCTAAATTTTTCTTAAAATAAACCCTGGTCAAGTGTGCTCACATTTGTTTATATTTTTGACACATGCGCAGATGGGACTGTAATCTAGCTTAGTGGCATACGAAGCCATTAATATGGAAACTTACAAAACTATTTGCAAAGTTGAATTATACAAAGTTATTTTATTTCCATGCAGTAATGTTTTGTGGCCAAAGCTAGATTATTATAATTATCATACTTATACTTTCTTTATGAATGCTGTGGAAACATACGTTGCCGATTCTGCATGAAACTTTCCGTGTAGCCGAATTCAAGCTGATTAGTTTATACATATAATTCATATAAGTACAACAAATTTAGATCATTCAAATCAACTATAGTATAGAGAATATGTTAACGTTTTCATCTAATTAAGGGTGCACTCGCTTTTTAAAAGACTTACTGACGACATCTTACGGTTTACAACTAGGGTTGGGCGATATTAAAAAAATCATCTCACGATTATTGTCAAGGAATTTATCACGATATTCGATAATATCGCGATAAATGCAATAAAAACAATGACCATTTTTTTCAATTTTAATTAATATCAAAGGCAAAGCATAGTAATCGTAAGCTTATATATAATCTTATTAAAAACAAGTAAAACAACAAATTAAAGTAACATGAAGGCTTTTTCTAGTCTAATATTTACTGTTCATAAACCAGAACTGTCTATGCAGAGACTGTGTCTCCGCTCGGGTACGTCATGAAGACATCAACATTGGGGGGGGGGAGGTCGTCATGTTTTGACCAAATTTTCCTAGAATTTTGACCAAGTAGTAGAAATGTTTCCCGAAAATGTTGTCGTTTTTGACCAACTTTAATCGTTTTGAATTATTGGGGGGGGGGGGACCCCCCCCTGTAGCGACGTCCCTGTCTCCGCTGGCACATATATAGCGCAAGCAAAGCCTGTAATTTCATTGTTCATCAGATTAATACATAAATATTAGCTTTTGTATCGAATGTATCATTTTAAAAACTATATTTTCTAGGGAATTGAAAGAATTTTTTAGGATTTTATAACAGCTATATGCACATGTGAAGCAATATCACAATAGTCATCGAGCATGACGATAATTTCGATATATCGTCTCATAAGTTTCTACCTTCGATACGATCGATAATCGCAATTGAAAATATCGCGATAAATCAACTAGTATCGAAATATCGCCCAATCCTATTTGCAACAAACTGCTTCAGTGAAGATATAGGTGATAATGCTGAACTTGGCAATGTTTACTAGCTGCAATTACAGCATCGTTTGGTATGGATTGTGCAAGGTGAATCAGTATATAATACGTTAATTATACGACCAGCTAAATAGACAAACCTGCATGATTTCAACTGACAGACGTAGCAAATAAAACTTATAAAAATGCGTATGCATAGTTTTACTTTTACTTACTTTCAATTAATTACCAGACGTTGTTGAATGTTGTGGACCAAGTTCTATACTGACCAGGAAAAAATAATTAAATCCGAAGCGTTTCTGTGGGTTATTCATGCCTATACTAATTACCCCTGCTGACATTGGTATTACAATTGCGTGGGAAAGTTCTGCATATTAGTTGTATAAAACATAATTGGCAGGCTGATGTTCATCAGTGTGAATCCTAACCACCAGCTAGTGCATGGCGAAGCTAGTGGCCATAGATATAGCTAGTCAATATGCATTATTATTATATGGCAAGCATTTGTTTTGATGAATCGCGCAATTTGATTTGATTTGATTTTGCTGACGAGGCAGGATTTTCCCGTATTGCCCACGGGCATACGCAATTTTTATTGCCCTGCGCCAAGAACCGAGTTTGAAACGGCAAAAAGTGTCTAAAAGTCTTTCAAAACTATTCAAAACGAAGAAAAATAAACCTAAACTAAAGAAAAGGAGAACCTCCTTTGGTTAAAGAACTTTCTCAATATGTTTTTGTTAGCGAAAGTCGAAATTACAAGGTAAATTTTACAATGTTTATAACTATTAAAGAAGTCAGGAATAGCTGTGTTTTGACTTTGTGAAGAGCTGCAAATCTTCTTTGCAGATAGCCGAGGAATTTGACACTATCCTAAATAAAAAATACAACCAAAGCAGCCACAGATTTATATTTTTTTTCCTGAAAATTTCTGGGTTTTTTCGATAAAAAGAGACTATTTATGAGATGAAGCGAACTAAAAACGTACTTGTCCATACTGTTTATTAATTTTATTGTTTTCATATTTGTTGTCTTTGTCTTTGATTAAATGACGAAATACATCGTATTTTTCTTGAAATACTATCCAACTGTGTTAGTATTCTATATAAAAAGTACTGTAGAGTAGTTTTACTAACCAAGCTTGAGAACATTTTTTACAATTGTTCTTTTTTGCAAATGTTTCGGTCTTTCGGACTTTGTGACCTCGCGTGACCTTTTTTTCCCATTTTTTTACAAACGTACAATGCCATATAATAAAAAACTTACTGACCTCAACCGTTCGGGCAGTACGGGAAAATATCCAACCTCGGTCTTGCTGTATTGACCTCGCTATCGCTCGGTCAATACAGCAAGACTTCGGTTGGATATTTTCCCGTACTGCCCTCACTCTCGGTCAGTAAGTTATTAATAGGGAGCTTTAGATTTGACTACGAGTACGACTACGAGTACGAGATTTGATCGTGTGCGAGGAAATTACCGTAGTCGTTTTCGTTTCCATTCAAATGTTGCTTTTATAACAGTAAACCAACAACTAGAGAAAAAGTTTGATAAAGTAAATCTCCTGCCGACTAAAATTCCCTACAAAACGTGTAAATAAGTCATAACATTAAAAACAGGCCAGATATTTAGCACTAATATATTATTTGCGCCGGATAAACGCTATATAAATGCTACAAATTATTTTTGGAAAACAAAAAAAAGTCAACTTTCTTTGTTTTTTTTTGAAAAGTCGTCGTGAGGACTACGAGGTTTCTCCACAATTTCGTACTCAGATGGGCGACGGCTACGACTTTTTCGCGTCAGTACGGGATGGCGTAAGCATACAGCATGCGTTTAGCTTGACGAATCTCGTACTCGTAGTCACAGAATAGGAAGTTATACCAGAAGCGTAACTCGAGCAAATATTTGTCCGCGTTTTTACAAGCGATTCGTCATCAATCACGCCATCCTGGCTAGTACAACCGGCACTTTGTACCTACCAAATCCTGACAAAAACTTCCGGCTGTACTAGCCAGGATGGCGTGGCCTGACGTGAGCGAGTTAAAATTTTCGTGGACGTCAAACAATAAGGGAAACGACTAGAGTTACTTTTATTTTTTTATTTTAACAATTTTATTGAGAATTCTACAACGTTTTAAACACAACAGTTCTATGTAGAAATAAGTAGAATACTCAAATGGACAATATCAAGCACGAACGAGACATAAAGTCCCATGCAAGGTGCTTACCATTCTAAAACTATACAAAACAATAAAATAGTACAAAATACAATACAAAACAGCACAAACATGAAACACAGTTATTAGCCGTTTTCACATCAGAAGACGGACAAGTCGTCCAGACGAACAAACCGTCCCAAAATCGTCTTTTAGTCGGACAATCATCAGATGTGAAAACGTGTCGGACAAAATTTTAGACGAACAAGTCGTCTGAATTGTTCGACTACTTGACTGTCTGTGAAGACGACCCTGGAGACGACCCGTTCGCCCAGACGACCCGTCCGCCTCTAATGTGAATAGGGCTATTTACTTAGTTCTATGACATGGACAGTCACGCACTAATGACCATGTACATGGCATTTCTATGTCGAACATTGTTCCGAGCAAGTGTTCATATGTGCTTCTAATGTTTCTTTTAAACGAGGAGAGGGTGGCGAAGGTGGTAGGAGGTAGAATTTTACAGGTATAGTTCCATATTTTAACTAGTCGGTTGAAATAGGATCCTTTGAATGTGTTGGATTTACAGAGGGGGACTTTAAGGGTGAGGGAGGGATTTTGACAGAGTCGGGTCCGATTGTTGTTGGAAAAGGAGACAAAGGTGTTAACGTCCAAATCTGTGTTGCCAAAGAGAGCCTTGAAGAAGAATACCAGATCAGAAATCTCTCTTTCATAGCAGAGGGGGAGCAGGCTGAGATTCATTAGCCGTTGTTGGTATGTCATTTTTTACGCTTCTGGTATAACTTCCTATTCTGTGTCGTAGTCGTACTCGTAGTCAAATCTAAAGCTCCCTATTATTATTCTTGTCTTTTTGCAATATAAAATATGCCTAAAATATGGTTGTAACTGTTGCGAACGTGTAGCTCAGTGGTCGCTAAGACACGAACGTGTCATGAAGTGTTTGTCGCAGGGCATTTTTTAAGAATTCGTCAGTGGGGGGGCCATCTACAAAAAGGGACCATACCATACCGAGTGTGGAGCAATGATAGAT